CTTCTGGAGCCAGGTCTGGCAGGGGGCATGGGAGCAGGTGTGTGATGCAAAGCCCCCGTCCAGCCTGGATTTCTCGGAAGAGGTGCCTTTTAGAAACGCTGTTCATGTGATTAACGGGGATGTGAAAAAATGGAACATTTGGAAGTGCACAGCAGAGAGCCAGGCGTGAGCCCCAGGAAAAGAACATGACAGCTGAGCAACACGGCCAGCCAGGTCTGGCAGGGGGCATGGGAGCAGGTGTGTGATGCAAAGCCCCCGTCCAGCCTGGATTTCTCGGAAGAGGTGCCTTTTAGAAACGCTGTTCATGTGATTAACGGGGATGTGAAAAAATGGAACATTTGGAAGTGCACAGCAGAGAGCCAGGCGTGAGCCCCAGGAAAAGAACATGACAGCTGAGCAACACGGCCTCCCAGACCTGAAACCATTCCAGGCCTATTCATCTGGGCTACGTCTAGACTGGCCAGTTTTTCTGGAAAATCTGCCGCTTTTCCGGAAAAACTAGCCGGCTGTCTACACTGGCCGCTTGAATTTCCGCAAAAGCACTGACGATCTCCTGTAAGAAATCAGTGCTTCTTGCGGAAATACTATGCTGCTCCCGTTCGGGCAAAAGTCCCTTTTGTGCAAAACTTTTGCGCGAAAGGGCCAGTGTAGACAACTCAGATTTGTTTTCCACAAAAGAGCCCTGATAGTGAAAATGGCAATCGGGGCTTTTTTGTGGAAAAACGCATCTAGATTGGCCACGCATCTAGATTTTCCAAAGAAAGTGCTTTTGCAGAAAAGCGTCCGTGCCAATCTAGACGCACTTTTCAGAAAATGCTTTTAACGGAAAACTTTTCTGTTAAAAGCATTTCCAGAAAATCATGCCAGTGTAGATGCAGCCTTGTGGGGTAGTGTCAGTCCCTTGCTGCTTGCTATGCTTGGGCTGGGGGGGACTCCCGCTGGCGGGCCAAACGGGTTCTACAAGTTAAGGGAAGAGCCGGGACAAAGGAAGGGAGAGTTGGGGGAAGGGTCAGTCTGGGGCTGGAGCCATGAAGGAGACAGACTAAGGGTGGCTGTCTGGATTTCAGGAGAACAGCCTGCGCTGAGGGCTGAGGATTAGGGGTGAGGGACCCCTAATCCAAGGGGTTTGGTTCATCCTGGCCCTGACCCCTGTAACCACACCACGCCTAGGCTGTGCTGTATCCCGGAGCAGCAATAAATCCGCTCTAGTCTGCGGGCTGGCAGAGTCTGTTTTTGCTGTAGAGGGGGTGCAGGATCGGGGGGATCCCCACCACGCTGCCACCACAGCAGAATGAGAAGTGCATCTGGGGGAGTGTTACTGGATTCGCCCTATCCCGCTCGGAGAACAGACCCCCGCAAACGCCTTACCCCAGGGGACAGAGAGTGGCTCTAACAGGCTCTCGTGCTCCACGCGACATGCATACTGGGCATTGGTTTGGGGATCAATCTCCATCGTCACCCAGGTCCGGTAGGTCCCGTCCCCATTGGGGAGGGGGCCTGCTGAGTAGGTGTCTTGCTCTCTGCTCTCCCCATTCCTCAGCCAGGTCGCGGTGATGTGCCGGGGGTAGAACCCGCTGACTGTGCAGGAGAGGGTGCGGAGGCCGTCATGAGCCGACCTGCCCCTCACCCTCACGGTTGGACGCACTGGAAACAAGAAGAAACCGAAGTGAATTGTTTTCAAGTCCTAATCCGGGCAGCCTTCGCTGGAGCGCCGCAGCAAGAAACCCGGAGAGCCCAGCAGCAGGAGAGGGCGAGAGTCCCACGAGAGACGCCATTCCAGGGAGCTCCCCTGCTGAATTCCGCGTGACAGGTTGGATCACGGGGTCCCCTGGGGCTTTTCCTCTGAGGGGCTGGTCATGCCACTGAACTCGCCTACCTGCCCCCTGGGACTCCCCATCACCTCGTCATGCTGGGACAGAAATTCTGGTCTCCAGCCGAGCACAGAGTCAGGGTTACACCGACCTGCTAACATTATCTATCCCTGTGTGGGCTGAAATGTCTCATGGGCAACACCGACTGGGAGGTAAGTCCCAGAGGGGTCGCCGTGTGAGTCTGGATCTGTAAAAGTGACAAGGAGTCCTGTGGCGCCTTGTGGACTAACAGATGGATTGGAGCAGAAGCTTTCTTGGGCACAGACCCCCTTCATCAGATGCATGGAGTGGAAATTTCCAGAGGCAGGAATAAATATGCAAACTGGACAGTCCCTATGCAAATCAACTAGACCATGTATTAATTGATAACACAGGGCCCATTTACACGGCAGTGGAAGAGCCAAACTGCTGTTGTCTATCTTCCAGGGTTTAAACTAGCGCGGTGTTTCCCAGCCCCCAGCCCAGCCAGGGCCTGGGATAAAATCCTGCTTCTCAAACTATTTCTACACTTCCCCCACCTCACAGCACAACATCTCCCTCCCCCTGCCTCCACCTCACCCCAGTTCCAGCACCCGCTCTCCCCCACCCACACCCCCATGCACTCAGTCC